CAAGTGGCTTTCAGAAAAAATAATTAATTTCATGCCCTGATATATATCAAGAAAAAGACAATTACTTAGTTTTAAATAATGGCATATCATAATGGAGCTCCTATACAAGATATTAAATCATAAATTAAATAATTTGTGAGCCAGTTGGTTTACCTTGATGGCCAATGTTATATCTGCATAAGCACAAAAGCCTCCTCCGCTGGACCCAGAGCAGTGATGGAATCCACCCCCTGAATATATGATAAATAGAAAAAAAACAAATCAAACATACATTTTAACACAAACATCCTCATAACAGATCTAATAATATACATTAAAAAATCATGTGCATCTGATTGGCTGAAAACAAGTACATTTTTCATGTAACACATGTAAAAATTACAAAGAGCACTCAGTGCCAAAATTTTGTCCATCTTGCCTTTCTGTGATGCGTTTTTCAGGTAAATTATTAACAAGTAGTCTTAACACTTGAAATCATGTTGTTAACTATTCAAAAATAAAATGTCACTGCATGTTATTTGGGATTGATGACAAACACAGATAAAAAAGGATCATACCAATATTTATTGCCCAGCCTCTTTCAACAGCGAGTTTGGCTGCCTGGTGGAATAAAAATAGAGATATACATGTGTCTAATCAATTTGAATGACACTAAATGAAAATAAAAATAATTCAATATTTTGAAATGTTGTGAAATAATAGACCTTGAGAGAATTTAAATGTTAAAATAATATTAATTAAATATGTTTTAGCAGCTATGCAAACAATTTAAAGTTACAGTAAATACTGGTAGTTATAGTCCATCATTTATTTTCGTTCACATGCGATGAGCTTAAAAGCATCATGAGATCCAATATGCCCCAGCTAAAACTAAGGAATATCCTGCAAGAACTGCTATCTAGGATATATTCCCAGTGATATTCTCCTATTTTCAAACCTCTAATCAATAAAAGGGTTTGTTTAAAAATTAATAAGATGAGGGGGCATTTAGCTAAGTCAAACTAGAGAGTACAGTAAAGTAAACATCCAACACAGCAAATGGTATGCGCTCACATGCATTGCAAAAATACTTAAATTTGATACGATAATATGCTTTTACATTTGTCATTAGACATAACATGTTCCTCAAAGCTCACAGTTTTCCTCGAGCTTTGCTCATAAAAACCATTTGCATCAGATTTGGAACAGACATTGTCTGAGGGCAAATGTCTGTGTGTATTTTTGCACCAAATGGGGGCTATTGTTTATTTATAAACCAAATTTACCAGTATTGATCCTCCAGTCTGAATCCTCATTGGCCTGAGGACTTTACGTTGCACAATAAAGTTTGGCAGAAGAGCAAGGGGAGGCACTTCACATATCATAGCAACACGGGCACTCCACTGTAAGAGATGTACTGACAATTATTTTCTTATCAAAAGTTAACAGCACTAGCAATGTGCTACAGCTTAATATTCCTTAGCCACACACAGAAATTAAAACACTTATTTAGCAAAAATCTAAGCCAGTAGTTGAAAAATAAATCAACTCATACAAGTTACACAAAATGTTTATCAAGTGAATGCTTCCAGGCCACAAGTATTGCACAGATGTCCTTGTGAACTTGTCTATAAATGGGTACATATCATTCATTGCAAGCTCTAAGCCCAAGATGTTTAGATATTCATTCTTACCCTCAGGCTATCTAAATAGCTCTCTGTATGTACAACCAATAGATCATCACTGGTAACTTCCCTAGGTGTCACAACTGTGCTTTCATCAACCATCTTTCCATCTGAAACACAAAATTTACCAACTTGAAATAAGGAGCCTGAGTTTAAATTTACCCACAACCACAACAATTTCAAAAACTTTTCAATAAATCATAGCACAGTCACAAAAAAAAGACATTTGCTAACAAAGTCCAACAATAATGGACAGATGGCTGACAAAATCTTAATTTTTCACTACCCTTTGGTCAACATTTCTTCAATAAGTAAAGAAATTAAGTGAAGGAGAGAGAAAAAAACAGCTTCTGTATAGCAACAACAGGATTATACTAGTATTTCAAAATCTACAGCAGTAATAAAAATAATAATGGTAAATTTAAAATGTCCAACCTGCATTTTTGTTTTGCCAAATCAAAATGGATCTACTAATAGTTGAATGTATATTATTTGAGGAATTTTGCAGCCTTGCATACATTAAAACTTGTTAGAAGCAGTTTAATTCAAATCATGGTCGTCTGTACAAATAAAAAGTACAGGATTCCTCTTCCTACCTTTAAGATATTGAAAAACTTTCCCCCATTTTCCTGAATCAAATGGATGAAGCCTTTCCAGGCCCATAAAACCAATATTATAGTCATCAGAGTACACTATGGGCCATTGATTGGTTTTTGCTTCTACATACAAATGACATTCCTGATCACTATGACAACAAAACAGAAGACGAAAAAAGAGAGTTGACTGTTGATACAGCTCAGTGGGCAATGACATAATCCACAGCTGAATCCAGTTTCTAAAATGGGAAATTCCAACTTTGCCTCTTTAAAATCTTATCAGTCCCTTCTTTGTATCCCTAAAAGTTTTGTTATCCATGTTATTATTTATTTTCTTGCCTTTCAATGTTCTTATCACCTTTTTTTCAGTTTTCATTTGGTGTGTTTAATATCACGTAATTGACAATTATGATGTATACAAAATCCTGTTTTCCTGTACATGTAGTAAAACTATTTCTAACTAAATCATAATGCAATGGGTTTCGCTAAAATAAATCCTTAAAAATTTCAGTAACTTGAGGTCACTCAGACATGTATCATTTTTTCCTCAGAGCACATGATTGTCCATTCTATCCAAGTAGATACCCTATCGCCAGGTCAAATCCATTTCCTTTGGCCATGGTGTCCCCACACCAAAGTTTTGATTGTCTACCACAATAAATTTAACACATTTTATGGGACATGGTATTTTTCTTATAAAGCCCTGAACTTTACTAATAAACAAGGACCCCTACCCCCTTGTAAATAAGATGTTTTGAAACAGTATCAAACAGAGCCAAAGATCCTTGTAGAAAAGAGCTCCCTGGTGTTTCCTAAAATGGCTCCATTTAAATTGAGTCAGGGGAAGAATACAACTCCACTCAAGTTGGCCTACATGAAAGATTCAACTGCATTCAGGAGGAAGTCTTAGAAGTCTAAGTAATGTATAACAGACGAAACGACATGAAAGTAGGCTTCTCTGAAATATGTAGTTAGCCTACATCAAAGTCTTCGTTTAATCAAACATATATAGAGCGTTTGGTTTCAACAGCAAAGAAAGTTATGAGCTGATACCTTAGAAAACGAGCGATCTCTTTGATTGATCATCTTACATTGTGAACCTGAAAACAGCTGTCAGTTCGTAGAGAGTTTCATTTACCAGAAGGAACTTGTCTCCACCCATCATGTGATAATGGCGCTCGGTAGGAGGACTTTTTCGGAAAAATCTAACTTCAGAGTACGATTTGACTTTCAAGTCAGCTTCACAGCGAGAAGTCGCTTCAACACCCTCCCCGTATATTACAAAATGCTCTCAATTTAAAAACTCATTCATTGGATTCAGAAACTAACTCGATCAAAGCTACCGAAAATGTTCTGTATCATGCTTACCTCGAGCTCTCATGTTCCTCTTTGGTGAATTTCTTCAGAACTGACATGTTACTTCTTACTTACCGGTAGAAGTTAAGACTAGAGCATTATGTGAGTAAAAACTCCATGTCGAGGAACTAACTCAAAGCGAAACATTCATATGACTTGGCCCGCCATTTTGGTTTTCTTTGTATCCAGGACCGCGCGACGTACAATTCCGAGTGTTGATTCAAATGGTGCAAGTCAGGGCCTTTCCGCACTAGCGGACGAAAGTAGAATTTTGCGACAAAATCAAAGGACAAATTTTATCATGACAAATTTATGTTTCGTCTGCTGCATCGGCATTAAAAATTCGCTTGATCTGTTTATGACCGGCCAGCATAGTTGCCAAAGGATTCCACCTCCAATTTACAAGATTTATCCGTAAGTCGCTTTAAAATTTTAGAATGCCCGAGTTTTGCAGCAAGAGACAATTTGTGCCTCTCTAGTAAACTGATTTGAGTTAAACTGCACGCTTTTCGTAGCTTTTACGACAAATGATCGACAAGGTTATCGCGGTTTTGTTCATTTAATCGATTTTGTCCAGTTTTCACCCAGTGTCGGCGGTTTGTTTGAAGATTTGACCGCTTCGGTCAAAATTTGTCAAGTCGCGACAAACCATCCGCGCTTGTAAAATTTGATGATGATAGGAAATTTGTCTAAATAACAACTTTTTCGCTAGTGTGGAAAGGCCTTTACTTGTTAGGAGAGCCTGGTGGGGTTTGGGCTTGATAAGGTTAGGTGAGCAGAGGATTTGGGATGTTGGCTGCAGCTCAAGTCTCCCTTTAAAGGTGAGGGGCGAATGAGACCCGATGAAAGCGAGAAAAAAATGCAATGATAACGGGAAGGGGGAAAGGGAACTGACAAAGACTTTGAAGGGATGTGAAAGGATGTGAAAAACCAGAGAGAAAGAGAGACAGATAAACTTAAAAGAACAAAGTTCAAAGAGAGTAGGAAAGGTCAGAAGGTAATAAACTTATTTGAAGGCGGCGGGGAGAAAAAGAAAGAAACGAGGAACTACGCAAATGAAACCTGAGAAAAGCGAGAGGAAAAAAAGCAAGAAAAACGAGAAGAGAAGAAGAGAACTAAGAGAAAAAAAAAACCAAAAAAAAAGCAGGTGAGAGGATAACGAAAATCAGGGAAAGAAAGAGAGAAAGTTCAAAAATGGAGGGAAAGGTAGAAGGAAATAAGCTTAGCTGAAGGTGGCAGAGATAGAAATAAAGGAAAGAGAGTTTAGATGAAATAAAGAGGAGGAGGATACAAAAACTGCAAGGCAGAGCAGTTTTAATACCATTACATTTTATTAGCATCGTCAGAGTTTACAATGCTTTCAATGTTTTGACAATGTGCTCAGTGTCCTCAGATGTTAAAAAGTTACAGGTCTAATCTTCATTTCAGCTCTCTTGACGGAGTAGCGATGACCCCTCCAGTGATACCACTTCAGAGCTGAAGGAAGTGAGTTTGATCCATGATGATAGACACCATTCAGGTTCGAATAACTACAGTCGTTATACCACCAGGCTCCTTTTAAATCATCTGCGCAGTTTTTGCTCCAGTTGTCATTGTCCTGATCTTTGGTTGAAAAGGGGCATCCACGACTCCGATTTAAAGAATCGCCAGCAATTCCTGAGGTAAATTTGACAAATGATGAATATCCTTAAAGAATTCATCCATTCAGTCAAACTACTGTAATCGCGTAGATTCATAAGTTCAATAGATAAGCTTACCTGAGTAAATTCCAAGACTGAGCTTGTACTTTGTTTTCTCACTGGTGACGGCAAAGTAATCGTACGAGGCGTACGCTGTCTTTCCTTTAGTGTCTTCCAAATCGACACGAAGCCTAAACTTCGCACTGTTAGTCAGGCGGTTTATCTTGTCCAGTCCCAGCCAAAATTCTCCATTCAGATTACCAAACCCTATCTTGTAGTCGGTCCAGCCAAGGAAGAAATCAACAGAACCGTCTTGTCTCTTCTGGAACACTGTCCACCCCCCACCGGCTGTCTTTTGGTCACAGAACACATCAAAGGCACCTGAGCCATCAGGATCGATTGTATAAACACCGCTGATTCTTTGACCGGATTTGTACAGCTCTGCACAGTTCTTGTAAACTGCGAAAAAAAAAATTAAAGAAGGATTATTACAGATTTACAGATTTTTTCAGGCTTGTTTGCAGATCTTGAAAATAAAATAATGAAAAAGTAAGCCAATTGTCAAAATATGAATTGTATGCAAACACATTGTGCAAATAATCAAGCAATCAAAAATCCTACAAACCGACCGGTCATTGTTTATTGTCTGGGTAGGAGGGTGGAGAGGGGAATTGGAATCACTTAGAGGGAAGGGAGGAGGGCTCAGTGGTTGCTAATAGAATATAATGGGGAAGGGGGGGGGGGGGTGACCTAAGATCATTTCGCGTTTCTTTCAGCCCATTCACCTCCTCGTTAAAAAAAAGGAACTTGCTGTTTCTGTAAAGGTCAAACTTTGATCAAATTCTGTTGTATATATTAAGAGCATTTACCAGCAAAGATTTTTGATATTGGTATTTGCGCATAACCACTATATGGGAGGGAGATCATGAAAATTATGTTCTTATGAGAGGAGGATTATTAAAAAACTACAGGGCGTTTTGTTGGATAATAGAAATTCTATTGTGACTCAACCAAAATCTCACCAACCCACCCCCTGCAATAGATAATTACCGATCCTTAACAGTCAGTAGAAGAAAAAAATTCAAATACTCACCTTTTCCAATAGGTTTCGTTCCTTGTATACCGTTCACTGTCTTCTGAAGGTCAGTCAGTTGTGTTTTTATCTCCAGCAGTAGTTTCTTCATCTCCTTGTTGGGTCCCGCGTTAAACGTGTTGTAATTGTACACATTGTGGCACGACGTCGGCAAGGTAGGTTTATTACTAAGTGCAGCTGGGGTTAAGGCATATAAAGCCAAAAGTGTGGAAAGACAGCGCGAGGTAAGAGGAAGCATACCGTGACAGAATGTATTGAAGTGTCTTGTTCACCAGCTTGGTTTTAACACATTGGCTTTCACATTACGATGACAGCCTTTCTAAGACAACCTGATTTGTTTACTTTCTTCGCTTTGCGAGACTTTTCGTGTCAGACACTTGGGAGAATTTCACTGATGATCAATAGAGACAGGAAAGAATGATACAACGCTAAGCTAGTTTCAGTTGGCTGCAGGCTTTGCCTGAGAATTGTGAGACTGAAAGACCAACTAGGAAAGACGATAGGGCGTTTTGTTGGATAATAGAAATTCTATTGTGACTCATCCAAAATCTCACCAAACTAGGAAAGATTGCCAAGCAAGCACAAACGAACGATCGGGTCAAACTTGGCAAGTCTCCGTAATACTTTGAGTGTGATTGATAAATGAGGCAAAGAGAGGGTTTACGCTCTCAATTCTGTTTCGTTGAAACCGAATTTGCTGTTTAGAAAATGGATGCTTATCGGCGACTCGGGACACACATAACGTTGCAAGCTTTGTTGAGATTTGGATGGCAGAAACGGAGAAGATTGCCACAAAGTAGCTATAAGAATTAATTCAAACCATCTTTGACTTGAACTTTATTTCAGCCAAATTTGCATTAGTTCCTACGTCGAGTTTGACAGAGTCAAGGTGATTAATATTCATTTGCAAATTTTTCGTGTTCTCAAGTTTACACTTACAAATAAGTCCGTCTATATTTTATTCATAAGGCCTCACGCTTTGTTACAATGTAAATACCAGATTTCAATAATTAAAGTTGGCTGGATATAAAAATAAATCCGATCGCGTCTTTGAAGCTTTAGCATGAAATTCCTCTGATCAAAGCACTTGTTTTTATTATTATCACTCTTTTTAGATTGAATTTTAATCTTCCTCTACACGCAGTTAATTTCAGTCAATGAACAATCAGTGCCAAACAAACGTAAAAGCGGACCATAAACTGATAACACAACGTAGTGAAACTCAGAAATCAAAGTTTGTTTTGAGCAAAGAGGGACATCCAAAGGGGAGTATCGAAACCAAATTTTCGCCCACATATACTTATGTTTACAGTCCTTCGAAAACTTGCTGTGTGCACTCGTATTTCTGGAGCTCTTCCATGAACAAGACCTCATTAACCTCGAAGAGATCGAAACAAAAAGATTCCCACCCTACAATTTCCCTCAAGTTGAGGGGAAGCCTACCACAGGCTATGCTTCAGCAGTATTTGTCACAAGTAAGTCTCCTTCGTAGCATTTCTTTGAGGAGCGCGACAGCCAACGGAATGTAACTTAACACCCTCCAAAGAGCAGCTGAGAAAGTTATAAGAGGTGACGGCGAACAAAGATAATTCACCCGACCAAGTGGTTGTTAAATTTGCGGTTGGCAGTTAGCCTGCAAAAATGTTTTGCAACAGTTGTTAGTGTTCTGATGTCAGTTTTGCGCACACGGAAGGCTTGAAACGAAAAAAAAAAAAAAAAAGGACATCCGATTTGAAAATAATTTTCCTCATTAATACACCATTAGCAACGATCACTCAAACCTGACCGTAGGATTTTACCCATTTTGCTCCCATATTCATCGAACATTCCCAGTTTTATTGCTTAGTTTTCTCGAGTAAAATTCACGCAGCTTTTCTCTGTGGTTGTCTGAATGAGAGAGAGGGAGGCTGAAAAATAAATCCATACAGCTTAGGATTGGCTCTGGACTGGACTAGCTCGAGTCGAGTCTGAATGGATTGAACCCTTTCTTTGACAGATGCGGGAATGCTCCGATGCAGGGTTGGAGGCTACTTGCGTTCATGGCATTTACATTTTTTTTTAAGTTCACTTCACCGTAGTATTATAATCGAATCCCAGCTCTTCTGTCTGTTATTAACAGAACAAAAACACTCCAGGGTAGGCTCTGACTTCGCCGTTTCGAAGGTATCTTAGGAAACAGCCATCATTACTATTTACGTCGTTTTCTTTATTAAATGAGACTGCTTTCACACATCTGGTGCTAACAAACTCAACCGAAAAAAGTTTTCAGATCTAGTACAATATTGCTAACGTCGGGCTTCTAGCCTCGTTTGGATACATTTCATCTAATTATCTACTGTTCTTTTTAAGTAGGCGACTGGGAACTAGATTTAGGTGTTCAGATGTGAGTCTACCGGAAGCGATAGCGCACATACGGGACCTCGACATCTTCTCCATCTTTATCGTTACAGCACAGCTCGAGCACCAGGGCCTTAACGTGAGGTTTAATTCGCTTCTTGGATACCTTTTCAACCGCTTCAGAAACTCTGTTCACGAGGGAAAACACGCGAGAAAAAATTATTAAAAAGTTTATCAAACTAAACAGTAAAACGCATATATTGTTTCAGTTACAAAACTGAATTAGGAGATTTCAAAATGTAAATAAAAAACGGAAATGCTGGAATCGTGAAATAGGCTCAGGTGATTACAAGAAAAAAATACTGCGTACTGGTGAGAACCGAATGTTGGCGCACGTCTTAAATGATATTGTAACTTATTTCCACATTAGAAAACAACAAAAGAAAACCAAAGGTGACATACTTAGTTTGTAGTCTTTCCTTCAATTTGGCAGGAGGCATGAAGAACGAGTAAAGCATACAAACGCCTTGTGAAAGCATCGTTACTTCGAGTTGATGCTCGTTCTGTTAAGAGTGAAAAGTATAAAAACAATTGTTCGTTGATCAACAATGTAAAGATAACACTCATCAACGGACCATCTAGGTGGACAGTCGGTATTCCTATGAATAAAAGCTACCCCATCGACAAACTATTTCAGAATGACAGGGTAATTTAGTGTCATCAACTGAGTTGATAACGTCAATCACTCTGGCGATGGGTTAACGCTCGAAATGTTAGCCTTTAAACTCTTTACGGTGGCCAATTCACGTAATCAATTCAGATGATCATACCACGTTACCCTGTTATACTCTCCCACCGGCGCAGCACCACAGTTTCTTTAGAAAGACCCAAGACCCCCTTTATTCACGAATGAACCCTTTTTAGTCGAGGGTCTTAAAATTAAAACTAGAGTTATATTGCAAAGGAAAGTACTAGTTATGTCATAATGAACTGAGAGAAAATCAATTTTAACAAAATCAAGGGAGGGTAAACTCATGTGACTAAGTTGCAAGTTGGTATCTGATTTGGCGTGGCAGAACTAGCCTGTGGGAAGGCAATTTGACAGCTAGAAAATTGTAGAGGCAGTCACGAAGGCGATGAAACGTACTTTACACTTTACTAGTGCTATTCTCCTTCACAGCCGTTCTATGACATGTCACGTAATACTTCCTTAATAACGCTTCCCAATAAAACGATGAGAACTGGAGACTACATTTGCGCGTGCGCCGTTTCGAACAGTAGGTGCCCACTTTTCTGATCTGCGCGCCTACTACGCAAGCAATAGGACAAATGTGTCTCCGATCGGTGAATAAAAACGCGGAACACTTACTGATCAGAGCACGTTGTAAGAGTTTCAGAGCCGAGGGAATATAAAGGTAGAACTAACATAACTACTTTCCACTTATAGTCACATGAATCTGCGCGGAAAATGTTTTTGTTTGGAAGTAAAGTTCACTCTTAACTTTAGCTCAGTAGTTCATAATGAGCCATACACAGCTCTTTGATACCCAAAATACATTGCGAATTTTGAAGGTCGAAAATTGTCCACTGAAAAAAACCAGACAATCAAAACGATGTTTTTGTACAGATTTCAAAATATACCTGGAAGAGGTCAAAAAGTTCCTGCAGGGTCATCTCACTTCCGTCTTCCTTGCGTCCGTTAACCTCAAATCGATCCCAGAGTGTAAACTCGTTTTCGTAATACTGTAAAGATAGAGTGCAAGGCTTAGAACGCTTTTCGAAAAAGCATCGTACCAAAGTAATCACCACGGCCAATAGCAAGAAAGTTAAATAAGAACTCCATGAATCAGTTCACTTGAGAACTTTGACCTCTGTTGGCAGGCGGTAAGGTTTGCTTTCTGTTACGTTTTTGCTCGTTTGTTTGTTTGTTATTTCAGAAGGGTCTTGCGTTAAACTTTCCTACTTAATTTTTTTTTTTAACGTTGAGCCCGCTCAATTTGATGCTGGCGTGCATTGGTCGGAAAAAGTATAGAAGTCTTACCTTGTTTTTCGGTGCAGTGATTGGTTCTGAAAAGCCAAAGAATGGCAAAGCAAGATTGATGAATCCGTTTTTGAAGGTCTCCAGTTTCTTATTTCCCTGAACGATCTAAAATTCCAACAAAAGAAATCAATAAAGTATTTCAATTCTTATCTTGCACCAGGTTAGAGCTCAGGACAGACGAGATCTCTTACTTACCTTGAACAGCTCCAGTGAGACCAGAGCGCTGACCAAGGCAGTTGTAGTGGCAATAGCTGGGATGATCTTACCGGCAATCAACTTACTCTGTGAAGAGGGAACAGAAGGTATGACAATTGACCTTTCCCCGTGAAATGGAGTTTCTGACGCGACGAGACTTTGATACGCCCTGAACCACGATTTTTTATTGTTATCACGGTGAACAATAATTTCCGTAACACTCTTTTTTAACAAATCACATATTAGCGGAAGAAATGTTTACTAAAGATATCATTATTAGAGGTGAAATTCTGTACAAGCGGTATCACGTCTCGGACACGTGTCAAATGGTTAGCGCTAAGGAAAAGAACTTCTAACTCCAAACAAGTCTGTTGTGATAAAGTTACTTTCTGTGAAACATGATTAGCACCACCCTTTAATCATCGTCACCGTCTGTGTGTACCTTGTGTCTGTCAGCTGGTGGGATTTCGTAGTTAGCTGCTCTCAAGTTGGATGCTGCCACAATGAAATCCATATGGAAGTTCGTGTCATCATCCTGCAAATGTCAATTTAAAATTGAATCAGGTGACGATTTCAAACACCAATTCGCTTCAAACAGCTTCCTCGTAAACAGCAGAAGAAAGAAGCCGAAGAAGCTTACAGCAACTCTTATTTGGGAGAATAAC